CCAAAAAAATTGTAGATTTAGATTAGAATTTTGGGGATACAGCTGATCCTATTTTGGGGATACAGCTGATCCTAAATGCTTCTGCAGAAAAACATTGGAAGGTGATTTTGCAGCTCATTTTTTCTATCTGGCAGGACAGGGAAGCTGAAACCAGTCCCTTGGTCTGTGGTCTTCTCCATTTACCCCTAGCCAAGCCTGGTTGGGAACTCGGGGCATCATGTTTTACAGAAGGCAGTCCCTTTTTTCCTGGCTTGGTCACTTTCCTGGCTTGGGCACATTTGAAAGGCTGTCCAGTGCAAAGGATCCTAAGAAGGAAGGATGTTTGGGGGGGGGGTGCTTGGGAAGCAGACTCAGCCATAAGCAGCCCACGGCTCCCCTCTGGTTGCTGCCTTCCCTACTGGACCAGGGCGCAGAGTCTGATTGGGTTTGCGCAGCATAAAGCGGGTGGGGGGTGGGGGATGATTGTTCCAGCCACCCATTTGATGCTCAGACGCACTCCGAGGTCATCTGCACCTTTGTGAGCCCAGGGGCACACTAGCCGATTCAAAACCTGCTTGGGGAGTTCCTCTTGCGAACAGGTTATTATGGTCCTGGCTACGGTGATCCCACCAAAATTATACAAATCTATTTCTTACATTGCACGTCCATGTGCGGACCAGCTTAGACAATATTATGTAGATCGGTGTCCTCTTGGCTGATGGAGTGTGTGTGTGTGTGTGTGTGGGGTCCAAACAGTTGTGTGTGTGTGTGTGTGTGTAAGAGGCCACCCTGTCCTCAGAGGCTGACCCTCTCCTGGGCTCTTTCTTCCACTGTGCAGCCAAACCTGGGGATGAGCTGAAAGTGGAGCAGGCGGTGAAAGATTTCAAGTCCCAGAGTCTGCCCCTCCTGCGCCCCTCGGGCCTGAGCCCCTCCCTGTCCTGCACCCCGTCTCTGGACCGGTTGGAGCATCTTTCCTTTCGCAAGGATGGCCCTGACATTCTGGTGAGTAGAAGGAAGGGCGTTTCACGGGGTTTCGAGGGAAGAGGGTTTAGAACCAGAAAAAGTGAGGGGAAAAGATTAATCCTGCTGGGTCCTGACAGTAGAGTGGGAGGCTTAATAAAGGTGCTTTCGTGATCCAGGAACCCACGACTTGTTTCTGTGCAAAAGCATTTTACCTTGGGCTTCAGTGGACTATTAGGAGCTGTTAGCTCTGCAAAAAATCCACCTTGGTTCCTTCTGGAAAATGGCTAGAATGGGTTGACTGAGATGCGTCAACACAGCGGCTTGCTTTGGCTTTTGGGGCCAGGGTGTTCCAGGGAGGGCTGTGGAATGAGGCAGAGGTGAGACGTGGCAATGTGACAGGTTTTGTCATGGGTCTCATACCTGTCGGGTCTGTGGCATTGTCCATGTCTCAGAGGGTGTCCGAGGCCATCTCGAGGTGTGGCAGAGCTGCGAACCCATGCTTCTTGTTGATCTCCATGGAGGTGACTAATGCCCTGAATTGCTGCATCATGTTTTCCTTCTGCTTCTCTCTCTCTCCCCCCGACATCTTGTAAGTAGCTTTAATGAACTGATTTGTCTCCATAATGAAAATGGCCCTTTTGGCTTGGATGGTGGTGGTCGATCATGTTTTCCTTCTGCTTTTCTCTCTCCTTCTCCCTGACATCTTGTAAGTAGCATGAACTGATTTGTCTCCATAATGAACATGGCCCTTTTGGCTTGGATGGTGGTGGTCTGAGCTAAGTTTCCCCCCAAAGTACCGTTTTCATGTGATGGCATCGTCTGGGCTTAACAAGGCATTTCATATCGAGGGGTCAACACCGCTCACGTGTTCTCTCTTTACACTGGCTGGGATGTCAAAATGGGGCGGGCGCTTTTACTTAGTTGGCTAGGCCTGGGGAACTCCCTGCTGAGGGAACTTTGCTTGCCCACAACCCCTTTCCATTGGCTTTCCTGTTTCTTTTCTGGACGACCTCAGCTTGCTTGGCAATGGAGTCTAACCAGAATGGTTCATTGATTGAAATATTATTTTCTTTCCGGCGCCTGTCTCTGGTTTAGATTATTTTTGCATACACTTTTCCTTTTGTTGTTGTTGTTTAATGTTGCATTGGAGAAAACGTGAGCCTTGTATCACAGGAGAAGCAGGGGTCAGACCAAAGATATCTATCATTTGTACCTAATTTTGAGCTCCAGTAGCCCACGGGCTGCACTTCACGGCCGAACCCTTTCTATCCGCGTCTTCTGTCTTCCACAAACTTGGCGAGTTCGTTGAAAGACAACTTTCTCCTAGTGTTATGAGGAATCATGGAACAGCTTTGACCACTAGTCTGGATTTTCAAAACGTGCTGGTAGAGGTTACATTTTTCCTCTTCCTTCCGCATTTCCCTAATGCCCCATGGGCTTCGTGGTGCAAGCCTGTAGCTTAAAGAAACTCTCCCTAGGATGTAGCAAACTCTTGGTGCTTTATAAAGAAATCATAAATGGCTATGAATGTGTGTTCACGCACATGGTAAGGAGCACTCCAGCTCCAGAATTTGATTAAAAAACAGATATTCCATGCAATGATCATGTCGGAATATGGTATAAAGCCCAACTTTGGGGCTGCTTCTCTTTTTTCTTGGGGGGGGCATTATGTATTTGTCACTCTGTTTTATGTGCTCCGGGTCTTGGAGGCCATTTCATCCCTGCAGGTGGGGGGGCATGTAGGCTGGGGTTATGATCCACAGATGAGGACAGCCCTGCCAGGGAGTGCGGGCTGATGAGTTTGGACCTGGGAACATCAGCCCGGCCTGGGATCATCATGTCTGGGGACGGACTGTAATGAGATTGAAGGGAGCGGAAAAGCCTTTAGAGACGACGTAGCTCTTGCCTTTGAAGGATTTGGGGTTTTTTGTGGGTTTTTTTTAAAAAAACTTTCAGGGTAGTTTGTACATTTTGAAGGGGAAGACATAAAAGAAGAATCTCCCATCTGCCTCCCCTTGGTGGTTGAAGAACACACACGGATCATTCCATAGGGCCAGGGACCTGTGTTCAGAGGGATGGCCAGCCAGCCAGCCAGCTAGCTCAGCTTACTGGGAGCTGCTGGTTGGAGGCTCAGGCCAGGCTTTGGACTTGACTTTCTCTCCATTTTCCCTTCCCCCCCCCCATGGATCCTCAGCTCTTCGGTGACCCGTTTCTCAGAGCCCGGGAATGTTCCTTTACAATGCCCAGCATCTGCCTGCATTCTGGGCTTTGTTGTCCCCCAAAGCCCCCTTGCCCACCTCTGTGGTGCCCCCCTGGCACTGTGCTCTTTGGCAGGAAGGGGAAGGTTCTTAGACCAAGCCCAGCGTTCGCCTGGTTGAAAAGGCTGCCTCTTGGACCCTCGTTGGATCCCATTTCCTTCAGCCCCCTCCCGGCTGAGCCCATGATCAAAGTGGTGACCCGGGGGGGGGGGTTGGGGGGGTTGGGGTGTGTGTGTGTGTGTGTGGCAGGGACAGAGGTCTGCAAAAGTTTGTAGATCTCCAGGCAATTGCTTTCTGTCTCTGCATTCCAATTTCTGGCTGGGCAGCTCTGGGATCTCCTGGATCCTTCTCAGATCTCTTAAGAGCCCAAGAATCCTAGAGTTGGGAGGGATCCCCAGGGCTCATCTAGTCCAACCCTCTGCCCAAGCAAGCAATCCACGGCGAAAGCCACCGCGGAAGGTCTCCCATCCAGCCGCTCCTGAAAAACCTCTGACGTAAGAGAGCGTAACGCCTCCCTTTCCATCGCCAAGCAGCTATAAAGTCCTTCCTCGCTGCCTCCGTGGGTTCCACGTCCTGCCTTCTGGAGCCACAGGAAGCAAACCGGCTCCGTCTTCCGCAGGGCAGCTTTCTGATGGTCTTGGTTCCTCTGCGGGTTATCCCTGGAAGTGGCCACTGCTACCAGTTTTGCTGGCAAAGCAGGAAGTGTGTCTGTGCCAGCCTCTGTGCCAGCAGGGATCAAAGGTGAGAATCGAACCCAGATCCACCCACCCTGCCCTGGAGACAGCCCAGTCAGGGAGGCAGCATCTGTTTTCTGCCAATGACTGCTTGCTTCCTGGCAGGTTTGTGATTTTTTTCCCAGGGATCCTTTCTTGTGTTTTCCTTCCTTTTCCGTCGGTCGCCCTTTCTCTCTCTCTGTCTTCCGATCCTCTGCTCGGTGGCTTTGGAGCTGCAGAATTTCATCCCAGCACCCCGTGGAAGGACGTCTGGGAGAAACATCTCCTTGTGCTCCCTCGCGGCCCTCTCGCTCAGATCCCTGGGCCGAAAGCGCCCCCACGATGAGCTTTGCCGTTAGAAGCGAAGCTGACTTCAGCAGCAAAGGATGTGTGATTTGACCTCTCACGCCTGTTGCGGCTTGGCCAAGCATCCGGCAGTCCATCCAGGAGGAAAAAGCAGGCCATGATGGTGTGTTGAGGTTGCAAATGCCGCACCTCTGAAGAATGGCACTTTCCGGCCGTCGCAGCCCGTCACCTCCTCTTTGCAAATCGGCCGGCTGCCTCTCGTCCGTTTCGGCCGTCAGCCCCACGTAGCGAGGGGACGGCGTCGTTCATTGTGGTGAAGGCACTACGGCTGAGTGCCATGGTCATGTTTCGCTCCATGTACAAAACCTGGTGGGTCCCCCGTGGTGAGGAGGCCTCTCCGGTCCCCCATCCCATCCATGTCTGCCGTCGCCCTGCGGAGCCACCTCATGGAGCCCAGCAGCCACCCATCGCCCCAGGACTGGTTGCTTCCAGGATCCAGTTGTACAGTTCACACTTGACCGATCGTGGGGGCCCCGAAGAGTCAGGTCCACGTCCCGAGGAGATAAAGGGATCTAGTCCTCAGCGATCTCACTGGATGAGTCCACAGGGCAAATCAGCCGGCCAAAATCTTCAGCTTGGAGACCACTCCATATGGGAAAGGCAGAGCCTGGGACAGGCGGTGAGTTGGTTTTAACTGGGCACCGAAAGGGATGACGCCGACGCCGATGATCCTGAAGCAATGCAGGGGAACTGGAAGGGAGGAGAAACACTGATTTTTAAAGCATAAAATTGGGGTGCAGATGATGGCGAGAGGTCAAGACTTCCTACAAGAATCTGTATTTTATTTCCCTTTGGGTGGCTGTGTTTTGTGTTTGTCCACCTCCAGGACTCTTTGCGGTATCCTCCTCAACGTCTCTTTATTATTCGCCCAGCGGTTCCAAAGTGATGCCCCCAAAATGAATATTCTGCAGCTCTCCTTGTTCGCAATCCTGCAGCCTATCCTTCCTTCCTTCCTTCCTTCCTTCCCAAAAACAAAGAGATTTTATTTACCATAAGACTCCCACTTTACAAGATGCTGCTCATGAACATGAGACTCTTTATTGGTCTTTGCCACAACAGTCAAACACAGCTAACTGCTGGATAGCTGAAGGGTTAGGCAGTGAGTGATTGGGAGTTCGATTTCCCACTGGGCTTCCTTGACAAAGGCTCAGTTCAAGGATCCAGATGGTTCCTTCCAGGTCTGCAGTATGAAGCTTATGATTATATTATAATTAAAGACTGCCATTTTCCTGTCATGGCATCGCTGAATTTGATTTTTGTTCCTTTTTTTGGGGGGGGGGAGAATTTACCCAAACTCGGTCATTTCTTTATGTTTTTGACCAAAAAAAAGTTTATTTATTTTTTGAAAATCCAAACCAAGGGAGGGGAGTGAACCTGACCAGTTTTGCCCCTCTGTCCTACCAACGGAAGTTTTAGATCGGGCTGGCACAACTAAATGTTGTGCCGGCCCGATCAGCTTTCCCCGTGGTTCCCCTGGGGGCTTGTAAACTTCCCAGTTGCAGGAGCCATTGGTGGAGAAAGACAACAGAGCTGGTCCGTGCAAGAGCTTCTGCCTGCTTCTGCCGCTGGCCGTGGCTGGACCAGGAGGCTCATCGGATTGCCAACGGCTGTCCTCTTTTCCCCAAGCACCAGGGGGCAATTTAAACCCAATTTTGTCTTGCTCCTTTCTGATGAGAACTTGGCAAACCCACATTTTCCTTCGTAAATGGGAGTGCAAGGGCTTGTGCTGGTTTGTCTGCATTATTTTGAAATGAAAGCTGAAAAAGAGCAAAAGGGGACTGGGCGATCCATCCTCCACTGGGGCTCACCGGTGCTACTGAATTGCAAGTCCCATCCTTCTGCTCCCAGCCGGCTCCGTGCCTCCGTGAATTCAGATCTTGATCTCGAGGAGCCACGAGGACCGCTTCACGCTGGCCTGGGTGAGGGGGTTGGGGTGAGGGAGGACGGATGGATGGATGGATGGAAGCCCCCCTTCTGCCCCACAAGGGCTGTCCCACCCCACCCCGTCGGCTGAACAATGAGCGGGGAAAGGACGGGCGGCAGCTGGCCTCCTGAGTCCCGAAGCCCATTGTGTGGCTGTCATCGGGTGCCCCTAAAGGGCAGCCAGCCTGTCACCCAGGCCGGGAGGGAATCCTAAGGGTCTGGACATTGGTCTCAGCTGTTCTGTGGGTCCAGGAGTAGGGCAAGCATTGTGGGGGGGAGACCCCTCCTCTCCAACCCCCTATTCAAGTATGAGCTGGGGAGCGCAAGGGGATGGTCTGTTCCTTCTGACTCTTCAGAGTAAACCCTTGCCAAGCTGCAGCTGCATTGGCCGGGCGCTTCTCCTGCAGCTGGAGGGCTGGGATCCTAAGGCCTCGCTCCAGCTGCCTTGCGCTCTTGGAGTCAGGCCGGCAGCCTTTCCCCTCCGCCTTCCGTCTTCATTCCTGGCTTTCCGTGGGCTCAAAGAGGGTCTGCTGGCATCTTCAGGTGCGTCTTCACCTCGAGACTCGCTGGGTCCCCTTGGGGTCGGTTCAGGAGTCCTGCTGTGGGTCTTTGGACCATCCAGGGCACCTTTCTGGGGGGTCTTGCTCGTTGTGTCTGCTTCAGAATTGAATTGCCTGCCTGCTTTACCTTCAGACGGGGAAACCTTTCCAAAGCTTGATTTAATTTCCTTTTAAATGCAGGGGGGGGCGGGTGTCCTTCTGCAGTGAGTGTCTTCCCAGCCCCGCTGGCAGAGTTTTCCCGAAGCCCTCTTGGAAGCAGGGAGGCGGCTTATGATGGAGGCAGACGCCAGGTCCTGCTCCAGGTGGCCAACCCCCCCCCCTTGTGTGGCATGCTTGTGTGTTTGTGTGTGTTTTGCCAAAGCCGCACTGCTTTCCTTGCAAAGGAGCCAGGCCCGTGCGCTTTTCTTCCTTGGCCTCCTTCCTGGGATGCTTTTACCGATGGTGAGGCTACTCCCTTCCTGCTCCGATTTCTCTGGGAACAGCACCAAAAGGGTGCCTCTGTGGCAGAGACATCAGCCCTGGCTTCGCCATCTGATTTCTTCCAGGCGGTGGCTTCACGTCCTGTATTTTTCCCAGCCAGTGGGGCGCCAGGCTCCGTCCCTTAAGGGAGTGTTCAGATGGGCCCCGTAAGCTTGGAGGCAAATATCCATATGCCTTTGGGTTTAATCTATCTCAGTGTGAAAGGATCTTACCATGAGCTAAGTAGCATCTCAGTGGTTGGCGGTTTTCAGAGAGAGCTTGGCTATCCGTCTGACCGGGATGCCAGGGGTTGGACTAGATGACCCCTCAGGGACCCTTCGGAGTCCATATTTCCATTCCGTGACTCCACCGTCTCAAATACTGAGGCTGTGTCTTTGCTGACTTGCTGTGGTGCCCTAGCCACCACTGTATACTCGCCGAGGCATCTCACCCATCCCGCGGCGTCTTCCTCCCGAGTTCTTCGTCCCCGGCTCTACCATGGAACCGTCGTTTGGCGAAAACCTCTATTTGAGAGAGACCTTCTGCATTGAATTCTAATTTCCCCGCCCCCCCAAAACACAGAGGTGGAACTGATTCAGCGGTGCAGTACAGGACACAGCCTTCATCCTGGGGGGGGGGCTACTTTTTTGGGGGGGCTGATTGCCCTCCAGATATTCACAGAAATAAGGTCTCCATCTGCAACTTGTTTTTACTTTCCCCTGTTCTCCTTTCCATTTCCTTGGTTATGCAAAATAGGGCACCCACCTCTGTAATTCTGTCGATTTCACATTGAGCAAGAGAAGGAAAACCTCTAGGATTTTTTCCCCCTCCCTCTCCTTTGCTCCTTCCTTCTTGGCACTCCCTGGAAAGACTCTCCTCCTTTGTGAAGCTTTATTCCCGGTGCGGCAGAAGGAGGTGGCACATCCTAGGGATCAGAGCTTAATAATAACTTTCTGGACTACAGGTCCCAGAATCCTCCAACCAACCTGTCCAGGGGACAGGAATGAGATTTTCCAGGGCTCGTCATCTGCAGAAACCTACAAGGGATGGAAACCTCTCCCTGTCTGTAGGCAAGGGGGATAGGCGGATTTGAGGGACATCCGACAATTCTGTGCCTGGCGACCAGAAGGGTTGTTTTTGAGTTGGCTGTTCTGTGAAAATGCAACAAAATAAAAAAATAAAAAAGGGAGGTAAGACCAAAGCAAGAGGCTTTTTTATTATCACAGAGAAATTGTTGGCGATCCACCACGTTCTTCCGTATTTCGAGAAGATCGCAAGCCCACAACTCTTTCTTATATGACTAAGTGCATTTGTTTCAAAATGTGAGGATGATGGTAGGGCAAGCCAGAAGGGAAACCAGATCGAGGCAAGTGCTAAAAGATTTGGAGGGGGTGCGGGTGGACCCGCTGGGAGCCCTAATTGTGCCCCCCAAGGCGCGTTCCATCCATGATACCACCCCCCCCGGACTGGGCCTCTCTCTGGTAAATGCTCAGAGGAGCAAATGACTCAGATCCTTGACAGCGGGAGATGCTCCGCAGTTCACAACTAAACATATCAAGCTGGGAAGAAGCTCCACGTGCCACCAGGAGCTGGGGGGGTGGGGAGCCGTGGCCAGCCTCAGCCTCCAAGCAGGCTTAGAACACCAATAGGATTAGCCAAGCGGCTTGAGGATTTGGGCTCCTCTGCCCGGCTAGGGGCCAGCCTCAGCCACCAAGCAGGCTTAGAATAGCAATAGGATTAGCCAAGCGGCGTGAGGATTTGGGCTCCTCTGCCCGGCTAGGGAGCTGCCACCGCCGTTGGTCTGTGTGCTGGAAGCTGCGCATCATGTTCCTCTGTGCTGTTTTGCCGCTCTCTTTCCTCCTTAAGGTACCGGGGTGGTGGTGGTGTCACACTGTTGATCTTGCCAGCCACCAAGCAGGCTTAGAATAGCAATAGGATTAGCCAAGCGGCGTGAGGATTTGGGCTCCTCTGCCCGGCTAGGGAGCTGCCACCGCCGTTGGTCTGTGTGCTGGAAGCTGCGCATCATGTTCCTCTGTGCTGTTTTGCCGCTCTCTTTCCTCCTTAAGGTACCGGGGTGGTGGTGGTGTCACACTGTTGATCTTGCAAGGAGCAGGGGGGGAATAACACACACACACACACACAGAATCCATGGCTTGTTTTGTGGGACCCCCTCCTCTATTCCTCCTCCTCTCTCTTTCTCTCCCCTTCCAGGCGCCTGGGCGGCAGAGGAAGAACATGAATGAGTTTCTGGGGGACGCCAACATCCCCAACCAGGATCCCTCCCAGCAGCCGCTCAACCCCTCCTGGTCCAGCAATGGGACCGACACCTGGAAGAACCGGGCGGCCAGTCGATTCAGTGGCTTCTTCGGCTCCAGCAGCAGCGCCACTCCCTGCCTGCGGGTAGGTCGATCCCCTCCCCTCCTCTCCCCTCCGACCAGTCCTGCGCTCCTTCCACTCGGATCCCCTCAGATGGATATTTATATCTCTCTCTCCAATAATTCAATTACTTTCATAAAGGCTTTGTTGACAGCAGGTGGAGCTGAACAGGGCAGGAAGGGTCATAAAGCCTTCTCGGTCCAAAGTCTGTCTTCAATGCGATGTGCCATTTTCTGGGGACGAGGAAAATGTTCTCCTCTTGATTCATCTTTCAGGAACCTAAATGGACCTTGGGACAGTCCAAAGGGGGCAGAATTATTCTTAACATTTGAAAGGAAAATCAGCAGTCCTTCCAGGTCTTTGGCTACTCACGTTTCTCCAGGCCGGGGTTTCAGGGAGTGTGGTTGATCCCCTCCCCTCCTTCTGTAGGCAGAATGGAGGCGGGGACCATCTTCCTTTTGGCCTCAGGCAGCGAAATGTCTTGGGTCAGCCCTGTGGGGCACCGTGTGTGTGTGTGTGGGGGGGATTCAGCAGATCTGCCACCCCATGAGGGGTTGGTGCCCACGAGCATCGCAGAGGCGGCTTGGAAAGAGCACGAAGCGAACGCTTCCCAGGGTTCGGGAGAACCTCCAAATCCAGAGGCAGTCTACCCCTGAATGCCAGCTCCTTGGGATCAGCGGCACAGGGCGGCTGTACACAGGGCAGCATCTCCCGGGGTTCTTTTCTCAGCCCCTCTATCTTTTGCTCTTCCAGGAGATGGACAAGATGGAGCAGCTGGAAAGCAAGCTGTACACCTATGCCCTCTTTGGCCTGCCCAGGTTCCCGCAGCCGCTGCGCTTCGACCAGGATTCCTGGGAGGAGGAAGAGGAGGACGACGCCAGCCTGTGCCTGGAGGAGAGCTGGCAGGAGATCGTGGAGGGCAGTGAGGTGATACACCTGGAATAGGCAGGGCCCCTGGCCCTATGTCGGCATCCCCTGAGTATGGCAGAGCGGGAAGGGGGACCCCGTGGGATCCTCCAGTCCAGCCCCTGTCAGGGAGGCCCAGTGGGGGGAATCGAACCCCCAACCGATCTCTGGCACTGCAGCCGGAGCCCTGAACCACTGGGCGATCTAGCCTGCTGCGACGAGGGCCAGCTCTGAGCCTGAGTTTCGCTCCCCGCATGTCCCACTTCTCAGGAAGTTAACCCAGATCAAAGATGCCTCCAGAATGCATTTTGTTTCCCCTCCTTCCCAGAGCAGCAAGAAGCTACTCTGGGTCACAATAGAAACCTTAGATTTTTTTTACCATGTTTCATTGATTGATTGATTGATTGATTCTCCTTCCCAGAGCAGCAAGAAGCTACTGTGGGTCACAATAGAAACCTTACATTTTTTTTTGCTGTGTTTCATTGATTGATTGATTGATTGATTGATGGCCTAACTGTGCAAGCTTTGGAGAGCGACAGATCTCTTTGTCAGGCTAAAAAAGAAAAGAGCAACCCAACTGAGGGTCTGTGACCCAAAGGCGAGCACAGTGCCTGCTATGTTTTGAGTCCCTCAAAGAGGCAGGAAGGGGAGGGAGCTGAAGTGGGAGAAGACTCACGGCTTCCCCCCCCAACTGTTATTCCCAACTCTGTTCCCCACTCCGCCCACACCCTCCAGGCTCTGACGCGCCGCCAGTGCCACCAGCAGGAAGCCATCTGGGAGCTGTTGCACACGGAGGCTTCCTACATCAAGAAGCTGAAAGTCATCACCGACGTAAGTATTGCCCCCCCTTGCCTCGGAGAATCGCCAGCCCCCCCCGCAAGCTTTCCTAAATTATCCTGGGATGGTTAATGGTGCGAGACCCGCACGTCACACTTCAGCATGTCTCACAGAGCGGTGGGATGCTGGGACCGGTAATCCTGCGCCTTCTTGTCTCGTTTGGGAAGCTAAGCAAGATTGAGGGGGGCAGGCGCTGAGTAGTTTGAGATTTGCCAGAGAATCCTTGGGAAAAAAACCCTGGCTTGAGTCCTTGGAGGGAGAGTCCTGACATCCAGAATCAACCGTGCGGGGCTAAATGGAAGGAGGGGGCCTGATTCTGAGCTCCCCGTGTGCCCGGGGTCCCCTCTCTCCTTCCCGAAGCAACGCCAGATCATAGCTGTGGGTCACCATCAGCTCCGCATCTTCAGTGAGGACGGCTGTGTAAGACCAAGAGGATATAGGTAGGGTTTAGTTCTAACTGAAGTTGGTAGACTCCGATGCCCATCGTCCTTCACCGTGAGCTAGGCTGAATACGGCCGATGGGGATGACAGTCCGAAAAACGTCATTTTGTCCCTCTTTTCCGGAACCCAGTGGGAAAACGGAGCACATACTCACACACCCCTTCCTGGCCGGGGGGGGGGGCTTTCCCCTTTGCTTGGCTGAACCTGAACCCGGCACAGCCGTGACCTCTTTGTTTCTCCTCTCAGCTCTTCCTGTGTTGCCTCTTAAACCTACAAGACTCGGGGCTGTTGTGCGAGGTAAGGAGGCCCCCAACGGTTTCCATTCCCGGCAATCCGCCCCGCAGGTGGGAAGGGGGGAGTGTCGAGCGACCGCTGCCGCTTCGCCAGGGTCAAGCGCTGTGTCCTTTGTGCCCACGGCTCTGTCGTGGCCTTTTCCTCGCGGCGGCATTATGTCATCTGCACAAGCTGCTTTCCCTTACTGACTCCGAGGAGGAAATGGCCCCCGTTTCATTTTCTCAGTTTCTGACGGGAAGCAGAGCTGAGCCATTTCACTGTTTGAAGAAACAGAAATGTTTTAACCGCACCTCAGCGAAGGGTGATTTTAAGGGGGAAAGCGCCGGGAGAGTGGTGGTTAACAGCTTTTAAGAGACATGAGGGCTCATAGATTTCCCACTGCATGCAAACACTTTTTTTTTACTCTCTGGTGCATATGGGTCAAGCAGGTTGAACAGTTTTTTTATAAAACCTGGCCACCCTGTTTCACTACCAATGCAAGCATGTTAAAGGTTCACATCCCAAATAGAGCACATATTTTGGAGTCGCCGTCTGGTCCATGAAAAGACCTTGCCTGCCTCCAGCTAATAAGCGGTGCTTATGTCTATAAAGAAACACACACTCACACACACAGAGTTGTGAAATTAGAAACTTCTGTTCCTCCAGATATTCAAGGTCCCAAATCTGTTTTCTGAAACAGCTCAAACCACTCACCCCGTGGGGGGGGGAATCTATTGTGAAAAAATCAGAGCTGAGAAACACCCAGTGAAAGCAAAAGAGGAAAGGAGAGAAGAGGCAGATAGTTGAAAGTACACCTTTGCACCATTCCTGGTTAACCAGCGGAACTCCCTGCCCCAGGAGGTAGAGATATGGTAGTCATGGGCCAGCGTTCCTTCGTTTCCCAGATGAAAATACTGTTACTGCCTGGAAGAAAACCACAGAGTAGGGACCAGCCTAGTTTTCTAAAATAATAATAATAATAATAATAATTAATAACGAGAAAGCAGGAAGAAAGTTGGACTCCAGGCTGTGTGTGTTCCTTCCTTCCTTTTCTGCAAAACCCTCATCAGCTTAGCTATTTTTAAATTCAGGGACTTAACCACCCTTTAATCCCTGGGTCTGATTTCTGCCCACCCCACTGTCAGCTTGATGTCTCTTTATGGGATGCTAACCTTCTTAGAGCAGGAACCTTTAAATTTATACCAGCAGCAATAAAAAAAAATCACTTTTGAAAGTAGCTGCGAACCGCTTTGGGTGGAGTGGCCACTTAGTTTTTGCTTTTCCTCGCAGGTGGAAGCCGACCGCCTCTTCAGCAACATCCAGGAAATCATCCAGCTGCACCGGGCGCTCTGGCAGAGCGTCATGCTCCCCATCCTGAACAAAGCCAGGGCGAGCCGGGCCTTGCTGGACCCCACCGACTTCTCCAAGGGCTTCAAGTCGGTGTGTATGTGTGTGTGTGGGGGGCTGTTGCGGCCAGGGGCGGTCTCACACATGGAGAAATAGCCGGCCTGGGCGGGTGTCCTCTTTGGTCTCCCCAAATAGCCAGAAACCCCTTCCCGGTCATGGAGATGTCAGGCTGGCGGTGGCTTGATTTAGGATGGAGCAGAGCTGGTGGAACAGAACTAGATGTGCATCTGTCTTTCACTCTCTCTCTCTCTCACACACACACACACACACACTGTTTTGGCGGGCAATACCCAGAATCCCCAGCTGCCATGGATTCTGGGAGCTGTAGTCCGAACCAAAGGAGTGTTCCCGTGATCTGGAAAAGAGGAATGCCTTTTCTCAGTGACAGCTGGCAGCCTTAGTGGTTGGCACAGGGGCAAAACGGGTAATGGTGTACCCAGAAATATACATACTGGCGCATTATGCCGGTCGGGAGGAGGCAGGCAGGAATACCTTACCGCCGGGGGCCACCACTGCCTTTTTCCTACGCTTTGTTTCCTTTCTCTGAGGGCAGCGTTCTGTTTTGGTACATTAAGGGGCATAATGGGTCAGCACCATGCAGGCAAGCGGGGCAGATGCAGGAAGGCAGCTGGGTGCCAGGGCTGCAAGCTGAGAAGCAGCGAGGAGTAGTACAGGGGTGTCAGGTGATGGGACGGCCTGGCTTTCACCCTGAGAATCCAGGTCCCTGCAGGCAACTGGATAGGACCTCAGAGCACATAGCTGCAATAACCTTTCTGGCCACTGGCAGTGGGGGCGCTAAAGAGCAACAGAGAACCCGTTCGCCCTTTGCTCCTTGGGTGAGCCGGCCCCTTGGCCCGGAGACCCAGCTGCCACCCTTCTTGGTCAATCGGGTTCAAAGGCCAGTGGGCTCCCTTCCCGACCTCTTCCCTTCCGCCGCCCCTCTTCTGAGTCCTATCCCTTTCTCTTCTAGTTTGGCTCCCACTTCAAGCCTTACATCCGCTACTGCATGGAAGAGGAAGGGTGCATGGAATACATGCGCAATCTGCTTCGTGACAACGAACTCTTTCGCGTCTACGTCACGGTAAGGACGGCCCCGGGGGAGCGCATGGCTTGTATCTCAGTCCCAGACGTAGCCCTGGGGGGGGGGGAGAGGCACAGCAGGAAAGAGTGGGGAACCCGCAGTGTGGTTTAGAACAGTGGTGAAAAAGGGCTGATGGTTTCCACCGAGGCGACAAGGCAGGGATGAGGAGGGGAGGGGAGCGTTGGGGTGATGATATGGTTGCCCCCCCCTTCCCTGTGGCCTCTTGCTGGGGCCCTTTCCTGGCAAGGATCTCTTCCTTCCAACACACACACATGAATAAAAGGACAGACTCAGCATTAAGGCACCACGTCAGGCTTGAACTGAGTTTCAGCTGGGGCTGTTTCTGAGCATTTTCAAAGAACGCCCTCCCCTGCCCGCCCTCTGGAATGGACTTGTGTGGCATAGTTTTGCTGAATTGTGGGGCTCAGCCCAGAGGAGAGAAAATGGGCATGGCAATTTGCTGTTGGTGACAATGGAGGGAGCACATGGGGGGGAGGCTTTCTGCTTGGGGGTGAAAAAGCATTGCTTCCGGCCCCATGGATCATTTCCCCAAAAGATTTTGTGTTGGGTGTCAATATATAGCAACAGATCCAGCAAGGGCTTCCGTGATCCCTTAAAGGCGAAATGAATGGATCGTCAGCCTGAGTTTCCACCGAGGGTCCCCCCACCTCCAGTCTGGCCTTGTAGGGGCACAGTCCCCACCCCAGTCCCTCTTCCTTGCCCCCCCCCACGGACCCTGCGGCACTCAGTCTGGGTTCGTGGGGAGTGCGCCGGGTCTCGGGCACTGGCCAATACAGCCAGACGCGACAGCCTTCTCCATACTTAGGCTCCTCAGATCAACGCGGTCTAATGGGAATTCCCCTAAAATCGAAAAAGCACATCTTTGTTTCCAGGAAACTACAATGCAACCGAAATTCATCTGTCACATTCTCAAGATACCTCTCTTTAGCTTTGCCTCTACCCACGGGTAGAAAGTAACATTTCCTGGAAGGGCGCAGGCAGGCTCGTGTTAAGATCCACCAGGGTTGCCTTCCTGTGGCCCTCTGGATCTTGTGGGGACTGCTGCTTCCATCATCCCCCACCCCTTGGCTGGCTTGGCTAAGGCTGATATAGCTTTCACTGCCCAGTCCAATCTGGAAAGTGGCAAGTTGTCCTTTTCCTGGTGTCCAGTATTCACCCTGCTACCTGGGCACTACAACTCCCATCATTAGCCGCTATGGGGGGGTGTTTGATGGGACTGGTAGCCTTGCCCCTCCGGAAGGCGCCTGGTTCAAGGAGACGCCCTCGGCCTTCAAGGCAGGTGGCCCTTTGTGGCGCTCTCAGGTTGCTTGCCGAAGCCTTGTTTTTGAAGGGTGGCGATCCCCGACTGAGCCGGGCAGGCAGGCAGGTTTCTCGGTTGGGCGTCTTGCGGGGGGGCTGACCCTCCCCTCTTCCCCTGTGTTGCAGTGGGCAGAGAAGCACAAGCAGTGCAACCGGCTGAAGTTGAGCGACATGCTAGTGAAGCCCCACCAGCGCCTCACCAAGTACCCCCTGCTCCTGAAGTCGGTGCTCAAGAAGACGGAGGAGCCCCGGACCCGAGAGGCGATTGTCGCCATGGTAATTCTGGCGGGGTGCGGGTGGCGGCGGAGATAAGGGGCACTTTGGGGGGGGCGGGAACGCTTGGGGATCTGCACATTTCTAAATTCCCCGCTGCTCAAACACTGTGACCTGGAGGCTAATCCAGACCCTACTGACAGATGCACCACGGATGCAGCCGGTCCAGGAAGAACACTGTGTGGGCAATTTTGCATCCCAAATCTCCTTCAGTTTTTTTTTAAAACCTTGGCCCTCTTCTGGTGCAGGAGCCTTTTTGAACGTAGGATCCCAAGAGCCGGTTTCCAAGGGTCGTCACATGCAGTCTTTGGACCTCTGGAGTTTGCTTTTATCAGTGCACACCTCCAGAAAGGCCAGGTTGAGAAAAGTCAGCTTCTTCAGAATTCTCAGAATGTCTACCTGGCCAGGTGGAGGCTCCACTTTTAGGAGAAGTCTATCTGAGTGTCAGCTGCTAGGAACTAAGAACAAGGGCGAAGTGTTGGCTTCCTGCCTTCCTCTCCTTCTTCTCCTTCTTCTCCTTCTTCTTCTTCTTCTTCTTCTTCTTCTTCTTCTTCTTCTTCTTCTTCTTCTTCTTCTTCTCCTCCTCCTCCTTACCACCACCACCACCACCATCATCGTTGTTGTTGTTGTTGTAAGTGGAAGGGACTTTAATTTAGACATGTCCAGCTAGACCTTCCATGGGGGAAACCTCCAGGTTTCTTCTGATGTGTTCTCCCTCCTCCTTCCAGATCAACTCCGTGGAGCGCTTCATCAACCACGTCAACTCGCGCATGCGTCAGCGGCAGGAGCAGCAGCGCCTGGCCTCCATCGTCAGCCGCATCGATGCCTACGAGGTGGTGGAGGGCAGCACGGACGAAGTTGACAAGGTGAGGGAGGGAAAGGGTTAACACGCCTCTTTCGCCCTAGTGGCAAGACGTTTTTGTTTTTAAAAATTATTTCTGAGAAAAACCTCAGGTTGCTGTTCATGCTCATTTTTTTCCCCCTTCCTCTGGAAGAAAGCCCAGTTTAAACAGAATTATTGCAATTCCTGCGTAAAACAGCAAAAGGCTACACAGATGGTGGGAGGGGGGGAAAGGAGGGTGAAGCGGGAGAATTTTAGAGGAAGCCAAGAAATCACACTGGTGCGGAAGGAACATCCTGATGAGGCATCTGAGCCTGAGAAGACTCAAAAGATGATCCAAAACAGGAGACTTTCTCTAGATCCCTGTCCTGAACGAACTCAGCAAGGATGGGAAACCAACAGTCTTTTAGCCTGGAAACCTCTGTGCAATTTAACCGGGGAATTCAGGCTTGAATCAGAACCTCTTGCGTTTGGTCCCTGCCTTTTAAAAAAAGGCTCTTACGGGTCTAGAAAATTTGCCATGAAAGGGTAACCCACCAGCCTGGAGAGACTCCCCAAGGGAGAGAGGTTAGCCTGCATCATTTGGGATTATTTAGTGGAGCGGAGCAAATAAGGGGAACCAAGAAAGATGTGTGTAAAAATAATCCCTGATTCCAAAAGAGACCCAGGAGACTTTTTTCCCCTCCCTCCCTTTTTCAAAATATTTAGACCCCTTTGGGGCCACCCAAGAAAGCTGACGAGGGAGAGACTCAGAGTAGGTAGAAAGCCGGCAGAATTCTTCACCCAGGTCCCTGTCATTAAACCATGGAACTCCCTGCCACAAGATGTCACTGTGACTCTCCCCTTGGATGGCTTTAAAAGGAGATTAGATACAGTGTTGAAGGCCCTCAGTGCTTACAAATCAGGATTGTTCTGTAACTCTTCCTGCAGCAGGAGGCGGAAAACATGGATGGGGAAGAGGGGAGTGGGCTTGCATGTATTCCTCTCCATTTATGGGATTCCCAGGGCCATCTAGTTGACCATTGGGAGGAACAGGGTCTCGGTATCAGGAGGCTTTGGATGGGGGACGGTTCCCTGTGGATCCTGAACCTTTCGGTTCTGAACCCTCCTCCCCAGATCCTGAAGGAGTTTCTGCACCTGGACTTGACAGCTCCTATCCGGGGAGCCTCGGCAGAGGAGTCTCGTCAGCTTTTGCTGGAAGGGAGCCTGAAAATGAAAGAAGGGAAGGACAGCAAGGTGAGCCATGGAGCCTGGGGGCTGCGCCCGATGCTTATCTCCTGTCAGAGAGGGGGCGGAATTATTTTTTAGCACAGTCCTCTCCTGCCCTGGATGGTAATAGTGCAAGAGTAGAAAACAAGGAAATGCTGTACGATATGCAGCTGCATCAGCAGAGAACGACTGCCGGATGATTCCCCTCTGCTCTGCTCCCCGGGAATGTTGTGTCTAGTTCTGGGCACCACCGTTTGAGGAGAATATTGAGGACCTAACAAGGTGTCCCAAGGAGGGTGGCCAGGGTGGGGAAAGGTCTGGAAACCAAGCTTTGTTGGGAATGGTTGAGGGAGGTGCGCATATTGAGAGCGGGAGATGAGAATTTGTCCTGTCAGATGTTTATACTGTACACCACCCAAAATAGTGCTGTGCACAAATGGGGTGGTGTAGAAATGAAATGGAAAATGGAGGGATGGATGGAGAGAGATGGATGGATAGATGCATGAATCGATGGATGGATCGACAGATGGATGGATGGATGCATGACTTTACCTCCATGATACTAAACCATTTGCAGCCAGGGGGTTAATTTTTTGCACAGAATTCTGAATAGGTTTCCACTCCCTCTGCTTTTTAGCAAAGGTGCCATGTCTTTTTAAACAGCAGTGCTTGTGGTAGCCTTCAAGTTCCTGAAATGATTTTTGATTGTAGATTTATTGAGTTTAATCATTCCTGTCAGCCCAGTCTGGTTGGTTTGTGTTTGATTTCAATGCTTCTGTGCTTGAATTTCTTTTTTTACTCTTTCTCCGTTGGATGATGGCAAGTTGCCTCAAAGGCTACCAGGCGGCAAAACTGTGGGATATAAATGTGATAAACCATATTAACAGCAGCGATGATGACAATAATACACTTTGCCTTCCCTAGATGGACGTTTACTGCTTCCTCTTCACCGATCTCTTCCTTATCACCAAGCCCGTGAAGAAGGCTGAACGCACCAAGGTTATCCGGCAGCCTCTCCTGGTTGACAAGGTGGTGTGCCGCGCTCTGAAGGATCCCGGTGAGGCTCCTGTACCTGTGTTTGTGTGTATCTGTCCGTCCGTCCGTCTGTCTGTCCATCCGTCTGTCTGTCTGTGTGAGAACTGCTGGTTAACTAAAACTCCCCCCCCCCGTGTGCCAGTTTCCCATCCATTTTTGCAAAACAGCATCTTGTGAATTATTTTTTTGCTGTGGCAGCCCCAAGATTTTATGCCCTTGGGTGCAAAGGCAGCAGAATCCTGCAACTGCCCCTTTTTCATGGCAGCAAAATGTAATCGGTCTCAATGGCCGGCGTAGGAATTTGCTGCCTATTTTTTGATATCCAGCACCTGCAGATAACTGCCTTGCTCTGCCTAGTGGCTGGGCCAGCCTACCTTCTGTCAGAGAGCATCCCCCTCTGCCAAATGCTATTCTGGACAGGAAGTCCTTGTACGTGGCTCCCTACAGAGACGGTGTGCTCCTCATCCCCCATAATGTGGTTGTAAGATTTTCACCTGCTAGAATTCCATCCATGTCTTTGGATCATGAGGACTAGCAACATGCTTGGTTTGTTGGTTTGTTTTCGTAATGAAAGTGGAGGTTCAGGGAGCTGAATTCTCAGGGCTGATGCTTGGTTTCCTGCCCCTCCCTTTCCCCAGGTTCCTTCTTGCTGATCTATCTCAATGAGTTCCGGAGCGCCGTTTGTGCCTACACGTTCCAGACCAGCGGGCAGTCTCTGTGCCGGAGCTGGATCGATGCCCTCTGCAACGCCCAGGTGGGTGAAGCCGCAGGGTCCACCAGGAGAGGGACATTAGAGGGGGCGTACAGGCCATGAGTATCACTCCCCTCCTGTTCTCAGTCAGCTTCTGGCTGGCTTGCCACCTTGCCTCGCTACAATCCTGCTTTGGCCCCAAAGGTCTTCTCCCTTTTGCAGGGGGTAGGAAAGTTCTTTCCTTAAAGACTACAACCCCCAGAATCCCCACCGTCTCTCTTGGGCAGAGGGGTTCTTTGGCTTGCAGCCCCCAAAATGGTTTAGAAGCTTACCTCTCACTGATCCTACCTTCCTTGCTCCCTTGGCACATCTGGGGAAGGGCCCCTCTCCCTCCCGTGGCCTCGGGGGGGTGTCTGGCTTGCAGGTTTGTGCATCCCTGTCCTCCCCCCCCCGCACCCCTGGTCTGTTGCTTCATGGTCTCTCTTGAGTCTTGGTTACCTCTTGGCTGGAATAAATCTGCTCTTGCTCACACCACTAGCTTTCTCACACATACCCCTTCCTCTCGTCTCTGGGCCCTGCAGAACAAGCTACAGCACCTGCGCCTTCAAGAACTCCAGCGTGCTCAGCAGCAGCTACACAGCCTGGAGGAGGAAGAAGAGGAGGAGGAAGAGGAGGAGGTTGAAGAAGAGGAGGAGGAGGAAGAGGAAGAGGAGGGCGAGAGCGGGACCTCTGGAGGCAGTTCCCCCACGATTCTCCGCAAGAGCACCAACAGCTTGGACTCTCAGCAGTGGTAAGGAAGGAAGGAAGCAAGGAGCTGATGATGGATGGGAGGGAGGGAGGAAGGGAG